TATATATATAAAATAAGATGATTGTCCTTTTTGTGTGTGTTTATGAAGGTTCCACTGTTGCCAAGGCTTATGGTCCCTCAAAAACATTTGGAAAAGCTGCTGGAACTGGCCTGTTGCAGCCTTCTGGGGGATCACAGTCCAAAGTTGTACCCATCGCCAGCCTCACCCCTTACCAATCCAAGTGAGTTGTACAGGGCAAGCACAGAACTCCTTACCAAATGTTACATGAAGTTCCTGTGGGCTGTGAGTGACTTATGTGTGGACTTTGGTGTCACCACCACAGAGAATGAGTTTTGTTTTGTTTTACTGAGCTAGAGGAAGATACAAATTGTGGCAACCTCTATCACTCTTATCAGAAAGAATGGCAAAAATAGCAATCTGCCATAGCCTGTAAGACTTCATTCAGTTTTGAAGAATTTGAAGTTTAGAAATATTTACTGATTTAAGAATCTCTTGGTAGGCCTAGGAATTTAAAAAAAAAAAAAAAAGGCTAACTCATAAGGCATTTAATCTCCTATAGACGTGACTTTTGGTCTAAAAATTGTTACTATGATTTAATTTGGCTAAGATCATCTAGCCTATTTGTATTAACCATATTAATAGTCCCTAACCATGTATTTCTTTGCTATTACTTTTTTAGTTTAAAAAGTAATTAGAGCATTGAAAATTAGTAAATTCTGTTTTCAGGATCCTTTTTGAATATGCTTTTATTTATTCTCCAATACTTGGTAAAATAGGGGAGATAATTTCCCCTGTGAAATTATAAGAAAATTAGTGTGCCTAGGACCTATGTTGAGGATGGGCACCAGGCCTTTGAGTAGGGTCATGGCACTTCAGTGTGTTTACTTCCTGTGGCCCACAAATTCCACATTCTGTAACCTCGTATTTATGCTTGGCATGCATTAGAAATGAGACAGAAATTTGATAGTGATTATGTCAGTTCCCATAATTGAAAATAGTAGCAAAATATAATTGCTGGTATAGCTGCATTTTTTTTTTTTCCTTAGAACCTTTCATTAAAGAGATATTGTTGCCTTGGTGATGGTTTTTGGAGAAGGGAAAGATTTATAAATTTACTTATTTGACAGGAGAATGAGTTAGTGTTAAACCACCTGGTATGTTTTCTGTTTACTTATTCTGTAAACTGTCAAACCTGTGTGTCATCTTGGGGTTTTAATTAGCTGTATTAAAATATAGCTAACATTGACAAACGGAATGTGCCTCAGAGGAGAAGGGCCATAGGCAGATGATCTTGACCCCGTATTCCAAGTAAGAAAGACTCCAAACACCACTGTTGTCTATTTGGTTTTCAGGTGGACTGTTTGTGCTCGTGTCACCAACAAAAGTCAGATCCGGACGTGGAGCAATTCCCGCGGCGAAGGGAAGCTTTTCTCTATAGAACTTGTGGATGAAAGTGTGAGTATGCACCACATGAGGAGGTGGGATTGCCGGACTCTGTGATGCAGGGCTCAGCTCTGAGACCCATGAGCTAGCAAGAAACATGACTGTCATTGTGGTTGCCTTTCTGTTGTTGACTTCTGATCTGTCTAGGATGGAGGGCTAAAATGTCATAAAATACTCAGTCTTAAAGGAAAGTATTTGTAGGGATAGAAATTAGTCGTATATATACATACACACACACGTGTGTGTGTGTATTTTTTATTGGATTTTTGTGTATTTCATACATAAAATCATCTTTTTCTTTTTGTTTTTTTGAGACGGTCTCCCTGTAGCCCCAGCTGACCTGGAACTCACTATATAGACCAGGCTGGCCTTGAACTTGCAGAGATCCACCTGAGTACTGAGATTAAAGGAACTACTACACTCGGTCCACATAAAATCATCTTTTTCTTTTTGTTTTTTTGAGACGGTCTCCCTGTAGCCCCAGCTGACCTGGAACTCACTATATAGACCAGGCTGGCCTTGAACTTGCAGAGATCCACCTGAGTACTGAGATTAAAGGAACTACTACACTCGGTCCACATAAAATCATCTTTATACCCCCAGAAATTAGTCTTTTAAATGCATAAGTAGGGGCAGGAGAGATGGCTCAGCAGTTAAGAGCACTGGATGCTCTTGTAGAGAACCCAGGTTTGATTTCCAGCACCCACATGACAGCTAACAACCATCGGTAACTCCAGTTCCAGGGGATCCAAGGCCCTCTTCTGCCCTCTACAGGCATTGCATGACATGGGTGCACTTACATGCAGGCAATACACTCATACATAGAATTAAAAAAAATAATAAAATATTTTCAGTGCATAAGTGGCCTCATGGGCAGAAGAAATGGAAACAGTATTTGGCTTGCTGGAGGCTTAGTTGGAACCCTGTGCTGTGCTTGCTGCTGAAGAGTGGAGAGGAACATTGGGCTTCAGCAGAAAGTGGCAGCTACTTGAACAGTGGAGTTTGTAGGAAATGAATTCTGACCATACAGATCTACTTAAACAAAACAAAATGCTGCTGGTTAGGCTGATGAACCCCAAGCTTTCACCTCATCATATCCTCTTAACGATACAGCATGGCAAATACTGAGCTGTGCTGGCAGGCTCAGTATCAGAACCTAATTTTCTGCAAATTGTCAGTTTAATCTGCAGTTGGGTAAGATTTCTGCCATTTGTTTAAGTTTCTTATCCATCTTTAACATATTGCCTGATAGAAAAGTAAAAGTGAAATCAAATCTGAAGCAACTTGAAAGCATGACTGGTTACAACATTTTTGGCAACAACTCGGGACTGTGAGGTAATCCATCCTCTAGGTGCAGGCGTGAGGACTGCCGAGTCATCCTGATCAGCTCACTTCCCGTGGGCTTTGAGCCTGTCACTCAGGATCCAGAACTTCTTGTTTTTATTATCAGAATTAAACTCTTCCTTGTTTTTTTTTTTATTATTTTTAATTTTTAGACAACGTTTTTAAAAAATCTTAACTTATCGTATGTATATGCACACAGGTGCATGTGTGTCCCAAGATGTGTGGAGGCCAGAGATCAACTTTGTGGAGTTGATTCTCTCCTATCTTTAAGTGGGTTCCAGGGTTCAAACTGAGATCTTGAGGCTTGTGTGGCAAGCACCTTTACCTGCTGAGTCATCTTGCCAGCATCCTTGTTTTAGGTTTTTAACTTGAGGTGGTGAAATCATGATTATGGGCTCAACTAGTTGAACTTCTCTTGTTTTATGAGAACTGATGGCTTGAATGTGTGACTATAAGAAGGTTGTGGATTTCTGAAATGTCTGCAGCCCTCTTGAGGATTCTCCTTGTGCTGTGGTGTTGCTCCAAAGATATCATCTTGCTCCTGCTTTTCATTGCCCCAAGTTGGGTGGAGCAGCACAGTTCTGATATGCTCTCACTTGCTTCGCAGGGTGAAATCAGAGCTACTGCCTTCAATGAGCAAGTGGACAAATTCTTTCCCCTTCTTGAAGTGAACAAGGTATGATGGTGTTGATTCAGAGCTGACACAGTTGGATGGTGCAGAGGGCACATGGGGACCACCTGCTGGAGGGTTACCTTGTAGGGAAGGGTTTTGTGTCTGATTTGCTGACTGCCTAGCATTCCTTGGCTTGGCTTCTTTTGTAGGTGTATTATTTCTCAAAAGGCACCCTGAAGATTGCTAACAAACAGTTCTCAGCTGTTAAAAATGATTACGAGATGACCTTCAATAATGAGACTTCTGTCCTTCTCTGTGAAGATGGCCATCACTTACCTACAGTTCAGTTTGATTTCACAGGGATTGGTAACCTAGAGAGCAAGTCTAAAGACTCACTCGTAGGTAAGTTCAGGGTCTAGGACAGAGAGTGGTGATGATTAGCTTTATCTTCATCATATGGGAGGTGTACAGCACTGTTTGCCATTCAACCCTTGGTCACGTTCTCCAAGGAGCCTTGATCTGGCTGCTTTTAAGACATTGTTCCTGTGTTTCAGACATAATTGGGATCTGCAAGAGCTATGAAGATGCAACTAAAATCACAGTGAAGTCTAACAACAGAGAAGTTGCTAAGAGAAATATCTATTTGATGGATATGTCAGGGAAAGTGGTGACGGCAACTCTCTGGGGAGAAGATGTAAGTCCTTGCATTGAGCAGACAGCTCCATAGATGGGTTGTCTTGTCCTTTTGCATTGTGGGGCTTTGGCCACAAAGGTATAAAGGGTTGTGCTGTCCGGCAGTTATTTGAAATCCTTTACTTGTGTGAGTTTCTCTGTGATTTCAACTTATAATGAAATGCTCCTTACTCTACCTCTAGGAAAGTAAAGCTAGATTATTTTGTGTAAGTCCAAGCAGATTCTTGAGTGTAAAGTCTGTCTTATGAGTCCATGTACTATATTGTCCGTTCTCCATAAAAATTTCCTGTGCATTCTGCCTGCCAGTGATGCTTGTATGCGTTTCCTTTGCAGGCTGACAAGTTTGATGGTTCTAGACAGCCGGTGATGGCTATCAAAGGAGCCCGAGTTTCTGATTTTGGTGGGCGGAGCCTCTCTGTCCTATCATCTAGCACTATCCTTGTGAATCCTGACATCCCAGAGGCCTATAAGCTTCGTGGATGGTAGGTTTTGTGGAACTCAGCCAACAGGTTATTTGAGTCCAGGCTTTGAAAAAAGACCTGGTGTCAGGCGTGGTGGTGCACGCCTTTAATCCCAGCACTTGGGAGGCAGAGATCTCTGTGAGTTCAAGGCCAGCCTGGTCTACATAGTGAGTTCCAGGACAGCTGGGGCTACAGGGAGACCGTGTCTCAAAAAGACAAAAAGAGAGAGAGAGAGAGAGAGAGAGAGAGAGAGAGAGAGAGAGAGAGAGAAAGAAAGACCTGGTTATCATCAGCATGTGAGCTTTTGCCAAGCAGAAGCCTTTGTTATTGAGTGGAACAGTTTCTTTATTTCTTGGAGCATTATGCCTTCTGAGAGGATGGCTTTAAAGCCCTTAAACTGACAAACCCATAATCCTCTGACAAACCTGAAGGTCAGAGGAGGCAATTAGAATGTAAGTGTTGTATGCTGACCTCGATCCTGTCAAAGCAGGGTACGGCTCGGCTTCAGCAGCTGTGTGCTGAAGGACTATGCTAAGGTGTCTTTTACTCCTGGCTTTGAGCTGTGGGCATCTGGTGTGGGGGGAGAATGTGCTTTCTTAGTCTGTGGAGTCTCTTGTCCTAGTCACATCTTCTAATGTGCATTCACTGGATTATAATAAAGCATGGCGGAACAATGGGCTTTTTGTTGGCATTACACTGTTATGCCCAAAGCCCTCAAGCTGAGGAGAGGCTGTTAAAATCACCTCACCATATCTAGTTTTTCAAGGCACTAAAACTCTGTCTTAAATGAGCACTTCATCCTGAAATGTTATATGGAAGAGTTGATGTGGTTAAGGAAAACACTTTAGCCTAAACTTAAATAATTTGTATAGCTACAATCACAGAGGGACATGTGTGGTTTCCAGCTATGTCTTAGAGTTTAAGGGACTCAAGAAATAGCTCATACTTGACATTTTTGTTTTGAGTCTGATCTCAACCAGTAACACTAAGACTTGGGCAGTTTGGTGAAACAGAGTGATACCATCTGAGCCATCCTCATGAGTGTGGGCCATGCAGACTACTCACTATTCTCATAGCTGGTATTGTATTACATGACAGCATCCCTTAGTAGCTTCATCAGAAATAACCATGGCTTTGATTTGTTTTTGTTGGTTGATTCTCTTCCATATTCTGAACACAACCTCAGGTTAATTGTGTACCTACATTAAGGTGTTCATATTTCACTGTCAGTGACTGTGATCACAGATAACATAAAAAGACATGTCTGTCCCCTGAACAAAATAACCTGCCACTGATCTAAGAGAAGTTGTGTGCACACACCCCACCCAGGCAAGGATTAACGGTGTTTAGATCTTGACTCTAGCAAAGTGGAATTCTTATTGTAAGAGCTGCCTCTGTTTTTGCTCTGTTGGCACCTGATGAGCTGTCTTTGGTGGCAAATGTCTCCTTGGAGTTTTTGAAACCATAAACTTGTGTAGCTAGTAGTGGTGAAACAGATTTATGGACCTTGCTGTGCCTCTGTGACGGATTTAGCTGTTTACCTGACAGAACGAGGTGATTGTCTGCAGCTCAGGGCAGCAGCCGTTCTGTTGGACGGTCTCATTTTAGGGAGCTGTGTGGCTAGCTTTTAATTATCTACCACTCGGATGATGTTTGATGTTTTTAATCTCAGGCTCACTGCTGTTCACCACTAACATGTTCTTCCCACTTTCTCCCTGACTTCCTTTCCTTCAGATCAGCTGATAACCAAGAAGTACAATCAATTCTAATAATAATTTAATGTAAATGAATGTAACCTTAATGTTTGCATAAGTAAAATCTCACTAAGAAGGCAAATGTATAACAAAGCAAATAATGCCTTCTGATGGAGAGCTTTGGGCTATATAACTGATTAGGCTCTGTATTGGGCTTAAAAGATGTCCTACTGCTGGGCGTGGTGGTGCACCCTTTACTCCCAGCACTCGGGAGGCAGAGGCAGGCGGAACTGGATCTCTATGAGTGCAGGGCCAGCCTGGTCTACATAGTGAGTTCCAGGACAGCTGGGGCTACAGGGAGACCCTGTCTCAAAAAGACCAAAAAAAAAGATTTCCTACCATGAAAACATTTTTAGCTGACTTGTTAAACAAAAATGTCCATTTTCATCCAGTACATTTCAGTGATGATGTAAGCAGCTTCTGATTGTGGTGAACCTTAGATGCTCAAGGGACTGACTGTACCATATTGTTGCTTTTTTTGTGCTGACTTTTTTCATGGCTAGTGTTTTTAGGGCTCACTATGCAAGCCTTGTTTAGGAAAAGGGTATGTGGTACTTCAGCACTGTTTGTCTTGACCACTGGGGGTCATTAAAGCAAATGAGATAAAAAGAAAGGGCATTCTATCTCTTGAGACTAAAGTAGTTGGTTTGTTGTTTGTTGTTGTTGTTGTTGGGTTTTGGGGGGTTTTGTTTTGTTTTGTTGTCTCTTTGAGACAGGGTCTCCCTGCACCTCCAGCTGGCCTGGAACTCACAGAGATCTGCCCTGCCTCTGCCTCCTGAGTGCCGGAATTAAAGCCTGTGCCACCACACCCTGCTAGACTAAGGTGTTGTAGAAAGTACCAGTCCATGTGACCAGGATCTAGATGGGGGTGGGGCTGAGAGCTCATAGCTGATAGATCACATGATTCGCACATCTGAGAAGCTTGGAAGTGCTTGTCATCATTGCTTACTTTTTTCAGGTTCGACTCAGAAGGACAAGGCTTAGATGGTGTTTCCATCTCTGACCTCAGAAGCGGAGGAACAGGAGGGAACAACACCAACTGGAAAACTTTGTATGAGGTTAAATCAGAGAACCTGGGCCAGGGTGACAAGGTATCTTACATTCCCCTCACTTGGCAAAAACTTGGAAAGTTTGCCCCAGGTTGAGTTTTAAGTCTGCTTTCAAATACTAATTCAGCGCCATCATACTCACCTGGGACTCTACACAGAGGATTAGTAGCCCAGAGGCCTTGCCAGGGTGCCACATGACTGCTTTTCCTTGTTGATTTTCTCACGTTACTATGCAGTGGTTAAGAATCCCTGCAGAGTGCTCATCCCTGAATAGAACACCTATAGCAAACTTCTGCCTCCCAAGGCTCAGGGTGCATTGCGGAAGACGGGGCAGGAAGATTCTAAGAGCCAGAGGTGGTAGATGACCACAAGGAAACAGAGTTTTCCAGAGAGCTGATCAGTTACTCATATGAACTCATAGCAATGGTTACAGCGTGCACAAGTACCATGCAAGCTCAAGCCAGATAGAATCCCAGCATAGACTAAAATTTCAGCATAGACTTGGGGAAGTGGGTAAAAAACCCCAACCCTATCTGAGGAACTACTGGAACCAAAGGAGAGATTCAGTCTCATTTAAGGGTAAGACTCAGTAGGTTGACTAGGATGAATCCACACTGAAGGGCATTTGGGGACTCTATAGGCCTTTA